CACCCATGCAAAGGAACAGCTTTTTGAGGACTAGACTAAGCCAGCGAAGGAGGAGGGGGATAAGGAGTTTATTTGGGTCCAGTACTGAAACTTGTCTTTATGCAAATGGTCTGGTGTCTCCTACCAACTGAGACCCCCTGTGCAGGGCTCCTGCCTTCTGTGTTTGATACACCTTAAATTCACTCACAAGGATCCCAAGACAGCAACAACACGTCCTGTGTCCTCTGCGGACCGTTGGCAGAGCGGTGAGTGGCTCCTGGGCCAGGTCATCATCGTTTTCTGCCCAAGGAGGAGGAGGTTTTGTTGTCTCTCCTACTCCATAGCGAAGTGATACACTTGCGCCTCGGTGCTGGTGTCCTGGGAGGGGACGGGAGGTGGGTGACTGTGTCCTTCCCTGCCCTGTGCTGAAGGAAGCAGAGCCTCTGTGGTTTCTTCCTAGGGTGGCTCACCCAAATGTGGGCTGCACCAGTGGCACAGCCCCGGTCGGATGAGGCAGCACCTGAGTTTGCGGAGCAAGAGGAGAACGGGCCTGTTGTTTTCCAAGCAGCAGCACTGGGGTAGAAGAGAGGTAGAAGATGAATGAAGCTAATGCAAGAGAGCTAATGCAGTTCCCCATCCCTCTGAGCAGGACGAGGAGAGTATTTCATAGAAGCTGCGCACACCAGTGTGGAGCTGAACATGAAAGCGTGGTCCTGGATGTCCACACACTGACCTTGCCATGGCACACATCAACCTGGAGCCAACCTTCCCTGTTTCTCCACGCTGCAGCCTCTCCGGAGCTCATGCTGGTGGCTGGAGCAGCATCCCTGCCCTGCTGCTGGAGCCGCATCCCTGCCCTGCTGCTGGAGCAATGCTCCAGGGATGGCTGTTGTGAGTGGGAGCGGGGCAGCACTGCCAGCACACAGACGCACCGTGGGGACAGCTCAGGCTGGCCATGGAGGTTGTCACTGCTCACTGGCCAGGCACAAGCTGGCTTTGGGTGGTTCACCCATGGACACGCTGCTCCTGAGGGCAGAGCAGCTGCAGGATGGGGCTGCACAAGGAAGGAGGTCCTGGGTCTGCAGGAAGGGGACAGGAGTAGAACGGGAAAGACATGAAAGCGGAAGGGGGATGGAGGAGGTTAAACAAGGTGCAGGAGGCACAGATGCAGTGAACAGCTGCAGCAGATGGGGCTGATTCAGGAACCTGAGACCCACGCTCCCGCACTGGTCGTGGTCCTTGGCCCCTGGTTTGTCTCTGCAGCTATTGGCAGGGGCAGAAGTTGATCACAAAACTGAGCCGTGCTCTGAGGACGGTGCAGTTTATCACAAGCTCAGAGCCTTGGGGATCCTGACTGCCACGTTTCCAGTAGCCCTTCCATCGGCTCCAGGCTAAGGGCTTCCTAAACTTGTTGTTTGAGATTTGGACTTTTTCCTTTACTCTTACACTGAAAGTGGTTTGTGTTACAGAAAAAAGTCCAGGGTAGTTTCTTTAGTGAAAACTGGGTATCACAGAGCAATGGTGAGTGTGTGTGTGTGCACAGAGATGCCTGACTTGGGGTACATTTACAAGTGAGTGCAAATTCTCATGCATAAATGGATGTGGGATTCTTGAAAAGGAGTTTTTGACTGGGAACATTTGCACGTATGTGCTGGGGAATGTATGTGTGTACATGTGTGTTTGTTTAAGCGTGCAAAGAAGCAGCCCCATATGTTCAGGGGTGCTCAGAGGGGACGTGCAGACATTTCTATATAATCTTAAGGGGTTTCTTTCTGCAAACGCTTCCCACCACTCTTTAAAAACGGGATATGGACTATTTCTTCCCAGTCATCGCCTGTCCCTGTCCATTTAGTTCCCATTTCTCAGTCGTATGGCTCATTACAAGCTTGTCAGGCCCGAGAGAGGTAATATGTTGTACATCTCTGCCTGGCTGGCTTCCCAGCCACGCTGCCGCCTCATCCAGCAGCAGCGCTTCCCAACTGAAGTTTGTTCCCCTTCCCCTGCCCAGGGGCAAGATGCGCCTGCTGCAAGACCTGCTTTTCCCAGAGCTGCTCCCAAAGGCATCTGGGGCCCCAGTGCTGGAGCTACACAGGGAAGGCAGCGAGGGGGAGGAGAAGGGAGAGGAGAGGCAGATTTCCCAGCCAGCGGCGCAGCATCCCGGAGGGAGCAGGGAGCCAGTGTCTATTTGGACACATCAAGCAAAGCAGCTGTGTTGGGTTCCATATGTCGGGGGTGCCAGGATCCATGACATACGGGCTCATTTAGTATACAATAAGCCCCCCTTCCTCTCGCCCCTGCAGTCTGGTTTTCCCCTTCGCTCATCCACCACCTGTCATCTCTCCAGAGAGGCAGAAGAAACAGCTTCTACCTTCTCCCAGAGCCACCCCACCGGCTCCTCTCCATCCTTCATGACCAGGAACCCGGAGCCGATCCCAGGATGGGGTCCTGCTCCATCTGGGGCTGATGCTGCAGGGCAGAGGAAGCAAGAAGACAGTTTCTCTCCCTGCCTCCCTTGTACTGAGAGCCCTTATGCTTCTGTTTTCTAGAGCACGCAGGAGTTCAGCTCTGACACCTGACAGCTCCAAAACTGGGTCCTGCCACGGCTGCAAGGGAAGAGCCCACGATCTCTGAGCACATACAGGGGATATTTCCTTATCTATCTATTTATTTTATATGCATCCTGCCATCTTTTACACTTTATTTACAGTGAAAGTTGTTGCCCGCCCGTTGAGTTTTCCAGGGAAAAGGGAAAAACTTAAAATTCCCTTGCGAAGACTGTGTGTGATGAGGATGAAGAGGAGGAGAATAACCAGGAGCTTGCTGTAGGCTGGAGACCTTCTCTTTAAAGTAGAGCAGTTCTGCTTCAACGTCGTGCTTCGGTCAGTCCGTCCCCCCGACGTATCCCCGAAGCATCCGTGTGTCCACCCTTCTTCTGCAAAGATGATGCTCAATTCGGACCAGACAGAGATTGACCTGCCCCCGGCACACTCCGAACCCGAGTCCGTCTTCAGCGACTGCGGTGGTGTCCACACGGGCAGCATGGAGGATGCCGGCGCCGTTGGCTTGTGTGCTCAGTCCCGCATGGCTGAGCCGGGAGAAGCTGTGAAGAAGGAGCTGCAGCACCTGAGCCGGGAGGAACGTCGGCGCCGGCGCCGTGCCACAGCCAAGTACCGGACAGCGCACGCCACACGGGAGCGCATCCGCGTCGAGGCCTTCAACATGGCCTTTGCCGAGCTGCGGAAGCTGCTGCCCACCCTCCCGCCAGACAAGAAGCTCTCCAAGATTGAGATCCTGCGCCTGGCCATCTGCTACATCTCCTACCTGAACCATGTGCTGGATGTCTGAGCCGCCCAGCCTGCGCCCGTCTGTCTGTCTGCACATCTCCCACCTGAACATGTGCTGGGCATCCGAGCCAAGACCTCAAGTCCGTCTGTCCATCTACGACCTGAACCACGTGTTAGGCATCCAAAATGCTGTGCCTGTGTTCATCCGTCTGTTCAAATGGACCGAGTCCCCAGCTGTCTGCTCTACCCCCTGTTCTGTTTTTCCCCACCACCAAGCCCGAGTCCTTCTGTCTTTCCATCCTGCTTGAGTCAGGCTGGATGTTTGGTCCATCAGCCATCTGTCTGTCCTGCTGGATCTGCTGCCTGAAGCCTGTGCTGGCCGTGTACGCTTCCAACTTCTGTCCATCCTTCTGCTGCGCATCCCACTAATACTGTCTACTGGATCCTGAGTCCATCAGTCTGTCCACCCCATCTGCTCCCTGATCCACACACAGCAGGAGCCTCTGAGCCCAAGTCTGTCTGTGTGTCACCTCTTTAATACGAGCCACAGAGAAATAGACCTGTGAAACACTGCAGCACCAAGCAGCCCCGGGGGCTTGTCCGTCTGTCTGTCTACACCTTCTGCCACCAGACCCCCCCACCAGCACAGCCAGTGTGGGCATTTTGTCTGTTTGCTGCTGTTCTGCCCCTGGGCATCGTGCTGGGCATGTAAAGGACTGCATCAGGACGATCCAGGACGATCAGACAGCCCAGGAGCTCCCTGGCTTTTCACACCCCTAAAGGAAGCCCAAAGTGTAGTGCAGACCTGTCAGAGCCTGGCCACACTTTCCATGGATGGCAGTGGTGGTTTCCCCTTGAGATGGAGCACAGAGAGGTGCTTGTGGTGCTGCCTGTGGGGTGCCGGCACAGCTGCCAGCTCAGCTCCCATTCCCGGCTGGAGCAGCACCCAGGGGCTCTCCAAGCCCCTGTGTTGCACATGGGGTCTCCCCAAAGCTCAGCACTCTGCTCCCCACGTCCACTCATCCCAAGCTTTGCTGCCCAACCCCCTTTTGCACTAGTGCACAGTGAGTGTGAAGCCCCCCTGGTCTGGCCTGTAGCACCAACAGACACAACCACCCCAGGGCACCAGCACTTCATCCCTCCCCACTCTTCCTCTGTCTCCCCTTTGGTGCTCCTGGTGAAAAGGGCTTGGGGCGGGGGGGTGTGTACAAGCGTGGCACGTGCCCCAGCACAGGGGACACCAGCACCCAGCTCTGTTTGCATGCAAAGAGGTTTCACCCCAGGGTGCCACAGCCCCCCCCATTTACACCAGTATGACACTGGTGCAGCGTGAGCTTCCACAGCACACACTGTGCTGGGGTAAACTGCACTTTACCTGCGGCTGGCAGGGCGGTGAGTTTGGAGAAGGGAGGAAGCAGCCACAGCCCCATTCCCAGCTTCCAGCAGCTGGGGTTCACGCTGGGCCTCCCAAACATGGATCAGCACTTTGGGAGCGGGAAGGGAAAGCAGAGGCAAGGGCAGGCTGAGGCTGGGGAAAGCTCATTGCAGAAGTGAATGTTTTGCCTTGCTCTAATGGGGGTTTGGTTGGTTTAAGAGTTCGTTTTGCACTGGCAGTGGCAAGACCTCCTGGCTCTATCCCACCCGGTCTCTGCTGCCAGCTCCCAGTGCCGCCTCACTCTGTACCTCATTCCCCCCTCCCCATAAAAGTAGGGAATAATTGCTACCTCTGTCTCACAAGGACTCACCAGTGAATGGGGGATCCCAGAGGGATCAAGCAGCACATCCCAGAGCCGGCTCCCCCATCCCTGCACCGCGGGGCAGTGGCAAAGCAAATCCAGAGCAGGGCAGCCCACCCTTCCCCTCCACTCACCAGCCATGTCTCTGTGCCACAAGGATATTTATTGAATTAATTTATTGATAAATGTTATTATTATTTATTTGCCGTGTTGTGCACTTTGGGGAAAGGGAAACGAGAAAACAAAACCAGAATGACCATGGTGGAAAACCAGCCAAGCCACCCTCATCCGTGGTGTGCCCCAGCATCTGTTTGTCTTGGCTGTTCAGACTGTGCAAGGATTTAGTATTTATGAGTTCACAAGGAAGTTGGGGAGGGGGAAATGAATTAAACTACCAGCAAAAGAGGGATCTTGAACTTGGCGTGCCCAGCTTCCCCTTTTCTTTCTTTTTAATGCTGGTAACCATCCCTTGTGCTGCTGTGTGAGGTGGTGGGAGGGAGCTCATCACCCACTGCTCCAGCCCAGGGACCAGGATGGGTCCCCTTGGTGCTCCAAGAGCCCAACCAGCACCAGACACACACAGATCCGGGTTCACTCCACATCTTTGGCTTTCCCCTAGTCTGCAGTCCCCGCTTCAGCCCAGCTTGGGTTTGCTGGGACAAGCCAACCTGGAGTGGACCAGTCCCTCTGGTGACAGCAGAAGCATGAGGACATCTGGTCCAGCCATCAGCATCTCCAACCACACCCAATAAATCCCCTTCTCCCCCCTGTGTCCCCCTGGGAAATCAGCACATCCCCGGCACCAAGGACACCCATCGCTTCCCCCTGTCCCCCAGCCCTCTCCCTGCTCCCTCAGCCCACCCTGAGCTGTGCTGGGAAGCAAGTTTGTGGCTCGTGTCCTTTGTCTACGTGGATCCAGCGCGTCCCCGGGGGCAGGTTGCAGCTGCTCCACGACTTGCTCCAAATTTCTGCCTCTAATCAATTGGCCTCGGCTGCAGCTCGGCTCAGCAGAGCTGCCTCAAAGGGAAATAATAAACAGGGGGAGGGAGAAGGGAAGGATGAAGGGGGCCTTTAGCTCCAGTGGGGCAAGGGAAGGGACCTCAGCCATCCAAGGTTCCCTTTATGTCCCAACAGAGGGATTTCTCCCCAGTGTTCACCCCTTGGGATGCCCCATGTCCCCGCTGCCTGCATCCAGATCCAGCTCTTCTCCCAACCCCACTGGCACCAGCCTCCACACAGGGATGCTCATACAGGGCAGCCATCTCCATCCCATCTCCATCCTGTCTCCATCCCGTCTCTGGGAGGTGGGAATGGGTCAGGGCAGCGCAAGCTCTGTGCAGCAGCTCCCAAACCTCCACAGGGCCCGTTGTTCCCGGCTGTCAGCCCTGGCCTTGACATATGGTCCTCATTGTGCCTCGCACAATGGAAACACTTCATGCTAATTTAGATGCTGGTTCTGGCCTTGCTGTCGTCTCTGACAGATTGGGTCCCTCGCCTGCTCTTTGTGCTTGTGGGCAGGCTGGGAACAGGCAGCTCAGCTTCTCCTCTACCTCCCTGAGCGTTTTCCTAACACTTCCCAACTCTTTTCCTATTCCCACAGCTATTTCCTTCTTTCTCTCTCCTTTTCCATACACATCTCTGTCTTTCCATCCTTCTCCCAGCCTCTGGAGGACACTGGTCCCAGTGCACAGGTAGGTGTGTGCACAAGGCATGTTCCACAATGGCTTTCACTTTAAAAAATACCCATGGAAAATAGAACCATAGAATCACAGCAAGGTTTGGGTTGGAAGAGACCTCAAAGCTCAACCAGTTCCAACTCCCTGCCCCGGGCAGGGACACCTTCCACTAGAGCAGGTTGCTCCAAGCCCCTGTGTCCAACCTGGCCTTGAA